TTTATATATATATATATATTAATTGATATAATAATATTGTTATTATTTTAGATCCAAGATATAAGTTGAAGTTGTTAGAGTATATTTTCTCTAAGTTTTATGATAACTCATCTTCAATCGAAATTAATAATATCAAGAAATTATGTTACTCATTCTTTGAAGAATATCAAACTAAAGTTAAGAGAATAGTGAATTTTTTAACTTCATGAGCAAATGTCAATAAGTCAAACTAAATAATTTAAATATTAGTAATTTTTTTGGTGATTATGACTCATTTGTGAATAATACAATAGAAATACAAACAAAGTCTGAAATAGAGTTCTACTCGAAAGAAAGAGTTTTGCCTTGAAATGTTATTTTTGACATTCTTGGATAGTGAAAAATAACTAGGATCAAGTATCTAACTTTGCAAAAAATTGCTAAGGATGTTTTAACAATCTCAATTTCAACTGTAACTTCAAAATTTGCATTTAACACACGAGGTGAATTTTTGAGTCTTCAAGTTCCATGAATTTACTCTGTAGACACTTATGTGTGTATAAAGTTGGTTGAAATACATGCAATAAGATAATACATAATTAAACTTTTTTTATTTAATAAAAGTTTTTTTTAAATTTTTTATTGTTAGTTTAAATTATTAATTTAAAATATCTAATCACTCATTTTCTTGTCATGTAGTTTCTATTGTCATTATTGGACTAAAATAATATATAAATTTGGAAGACAAGTATTTGCAAAAATATGGAGAAGTTGATTCCAATGATAAAGTCAATTTGCCTACAAATTTATTTTTTGAAATTTAAAATATATAATTTTAATCTAACTAATTTCTATATAATTATTTTCATAAGTCTTGACGAACATTGTTAACATGTCATGGTATTAAAAATTTAATTACAATTTTTATTATGTTAATTTTTTTAAAATTTATTTACAAGAATTGAATATTTTATAATTTTTATTTATAAAAATTATTATATTAGATTTTTATAATGTTAAATATATGAAAAATTAATATTATGTTTACTTATATGAAATGTTATCACTTTATTGATTTAATTTTTTTTATACATAAATAAATGTGAGGCACAACTACAAGTGTCGATATATAAATATTCAACTATACATGAATAAAGATTAAAATTACTATCTATATAAACATAAGACTATATAGTATATTATTTTTAAACATGATATGAATTATTTCTATTAACATATTACTTATTAAAAAATTACACCAAATATATAACGCTAAATTAAGAAATTCCATTCTAATTCTGAAGTTAAATTTTAAATCCAAATTCGATATCCGCCCTATTTCTTTTCATTTTCTCCAAATCTTCACCTTCAAAATAAACAAAAATAATAATAATTGCAATGCACACATTTTCAAACTCCCATTAAGAGGATATTAAAGACTGAACAATTTATACGTATAACTAACGCGAAATTTTGTATACTTTGATAATTCATTTAATTTTCCCCCCTCAACTTTTATTTTTAGAATATAAATTAGTTCATTTTAACAAAATGAATTCCTTTTTCTAAATCCTAAACCCTCAACTTAAATTAGTTTATTTTAAAACTTGTACATAAAATAAAGAGAATTGAAAAAAATTTGGGGTCATGGTCCCTTACAACCAACACATAATAAATGTCTACTTTATTTAACTAATATTTATAATAAATAAATGTTTAAACATACAAAGTATATTATATTTAGAATTAATAGTTATTTTGTTATAATAACTAGAGAAGAAGTCTATAATAACAAGTAAAAATTTAGTTATGTTTGCTAGCCTTGTTCATTATATAAATATGATTATTTTATTTTTTCTATTCTTAATATTCTTAATCAATTATTATCTCTCAGCACATTTATCTTATATCATTAGAATTGTCTATCGTGATATAAATTATTTTTAACTATTTATCATTATTATCTTTAATTATTTCATGTTTTATCTGTAATATTTTTAACAAGTATGTTTTATATAAGTGAACTAACTTAAGTAAATTGTTTGGTTTTTCATAAATTGATATCTAACCAATCGACACGTGATCAATTGACATAGTTACTATCGGCTCGAGTCCAATACTAAATAAATATATAAAAATATTAATTATATTTTATATCTACATAAATATTTTGAATTAGAACATAAAATTATTAATATTATATATGTATATATTAAATTATAGAAATTAAAAAATTAATTTCAAATTTGAAAAATAAAAATAATCTTATTCCAAATTTAAGAAAATGTTCAATAAAAAAAATTGAGGTAGGTGATAAGAAAGATTCTAGAAAATTTATGGAGCTATTAAACCAAAAATAAATAATGTAGAAAAAAGAACCAATAATAAATAAATATTTTTTTTCTTTCTTCGTAATTTTAAATCAGATTCACTATAGCAATATAGCCATATATCTCTCTGTGTCTGTCTCTCTCTAGAATCATCTTCGATCGACGCAGACAGAAACTGATCCGGTCAACGTAAGAGTGTTCCACTGTTTGCCATTTCACAGTTTTCCTCTCCCATGTTTGATTCCTCACAAAATTTACACTAATCTAATTGCTCTTTTTTTCTTCAATTCTCCTCATATAGCGTATACAATATTTATTTACTTTTTGCAGAATGGAGGAAGTTCAAGAGTCTCAAACCCCATCATCGCTCGGTAATTTGTATGCACTTCTATGGGTTAAAAAAAGGGTCTTTCTTTCAAATTTTGTTAAAGCCTCTCTTTTTTTTTGGCACTTTTAATTGTTACAGGTCAAGAAGATGAAAATGGGGTGATTACTGAAAGTTCGGCATTTGTTAAAGGGGAACCGGAACAAGAATTCAGTAGTAACCCCCCAAAAGTTGATTCTGAAGCTGAGGTCCTTCACGACAAGGTCACCAAACAAATAATTAAGGAAGGCCATGGCCAGAAACCTTCCAAATATTCAACATGCTTCTGTAAGTACCTCACTTAATTATAGTCTCACTCTGTCATGTTTGCAATTATTGTGAAAATCATTGTTTCACAACAATCTAGAGTTATATAATTTAATTTGCGGTTGTGTATATAAAAAATATTTGAAATCAATTGAACTTATTCCTGTCAAACTACTCGTGCTTTCTCTTCAAAGTTCAAACTACCCTAAATTCGAGGGCAAAGTCACAGCCCCAGATAAAGCATGTGTTAAGTATTGCGGTTATGGAGGGGAATATGGGATATATGCTACAGTAATATCAAGTTATGTGATATTGGAACTTTTGTTTCCTTGGATGGCATTCATCGTGTCTAGCTTAGGTATAGCAACTTAAGCTATAATTTAAGCAATTTAGGGCAATGATTTGATTCAAAATGTAAAATGTTCAGATATCTAATGTTGTTTCACTATAAGAAAATTTTCTTTTGTTGAGGCAAAATGAGGCCAAAAATTGGGAGGACCAAAATATATTAGGAAGTTGTTCCTAATTAATATCTAATACTGTACTCTTCTTATTAGCCATTTCCTGCTTAGCCTTTTCTTTTTCTTGTTGATTAAAATCATGATTGCTAGATGGTATGCGGTTGCAGTCCATTACAGGGCGTGGTCTGAGAAAACACAGCACAAGTTTGAAGACACGTGGCAGGAGCAACGGCCAACTGAGATGGTCTTAGGAAAAGGTATGTTCCTGATGGAAGTTTAAAGCATTGAATTTCTTTGTTCAGTTAATCAATAGGACATGGGGGATATCATTTTACTATTTGTACTGCTCATTGTTATTCAATATTGGTGTATTTCTCTTAAACAGAGAAGAAAGAAATGACTGGTTTGGGCATTGGTGTTGCAAGCATGAAAGCTGGGGAGCGTGCATTGCTGCATGTGGGCTGGGAATTAGGATATGGAGAGGAAGGCAGCTTTTCTTTTCCAAATGTTCCACCCATGGCAGATTTAGTTTATGAAGTTGAGCTCATAGGCTTTGATGAAACAAAGGAAGTAAGTTGCCATTAAATTATTGGATTGCTGTGGACTCGATAAGATGCTTAAACACCTGATTTTGCAGGGGAAAGCTCGCAGTGATATGACCGTGGAGGAAAGGATTGGTGCCGCAGACCGGAGGAAGATGGATGGAAATGCTTTGTATCAGGATGGAAAACTAGAGGAGGCTATGCAACAGTATGAAATGGTTACACATTTATGTTTCTTGTGCTCTTCTACATAATTCTTTACTGTTCTTAATCCATTGAAATTTCTTTTTTGTCTTTTTATTTTGGGATTTTGACAATTTAATGATTGTTTTGGTTCTTGTCAGGCCATAGCGTATATGGGAGATGACTTCATGTTCCAGTTGTTTGGAAAGTATAGAGATATGGCTCTGGCTGTAAAGAACCCATCCCATCTTAACACAGCAGCCTGTTTAATTAAGCTGAACCTAATTCTTTACTGTTCTTAATCCATTGAAATTTCTTTTTTGTCTTTTTATTTTGGGATTTTGACAATTTAATGATTGTTTTGGTTCTTGTCAGGCCATAGCGTATATGGGAGATGACTTCATGTTCCAGTTGTTTGGAAAGTATAGAGATATGGCTCTGGCTGTAAAGAACCCATCCCATCTTAACACAGCAGCCTGTTTAATTAAGCTGAACCGCTACGAAGAAGCTATAGGACAATGTACCATCGTGAGTATCAGACTTTGGCTGATCAATTCAGCATAAAATGCTTTCTGTTTATGATTTTTTTTAGTTCTGATAATAATTTTTTTCTAGATATAAAATAGTGTTAAAATGATCTATTTTGCAAGTTCCTTTCACCCAATTTTGGGTTGTGAATGGAATATAACTATAAAATCACAATTATACAAATATTTATGCTGCTTTAGTGTTAGACATCAGTAAGGCTGTAATATTCCCACCTTAAGACATTGAAGACAGCTAATGTTTTTTCGTCATAAGGGTTCCTTCTAATCTTATTGAAGTTAAAATTCAAATGGTTTCTTGTTTATTTGCATGATTGATTACCCAATCAGATTATGATTGATGGAATAAGCATACCTTGTCATATTCTGTCAGTCAAATAAAATGTGTAGCTGGTGTCCACAAATAAATTTTTTGCTGCCAGTTAGGATAGGATGTGTTACCTCGTCGAGAAAATGAATTAAACCAAATATGTTAGCATTTTAACTATCAACGAAGAAACTGTATTGTGAATTTATGATGCAATGTAAAACCATGATTTTCTGACCGAAACTCAAATAATCTTTCCACCTGTGTTTGGAAGAGCGTATTTACAGCTT